ACCCTCACCCCGAAGTGACAGATCCCCGCGGTTTTCTTGAGCATCAGAAGGCCTATTTTGCCCACCTGCAGCAGGCTGAGGGCCTGAACGATGCGCAAGCGCTGCCGGAGTATCTGCGTGAATCGTTTTCTTATGGCGATACCCTGGGGCCGCGCTCCACAAGAGAAGTGTTTGCCCAGGTTTATGGTGCTGACTGGGATGTTGAAATTGATATCAGCAAGCTGATTCCGACGGTAGGTGCAACCGGCGGGATAAACCTGATGTGCAGCCTGGCCGAAAGGCCGGGTACACCCGTTGCCTATATTACAGATGCGCCAACCTATGCCGGCTTTACCGCTCGTGTGTCTCTTTGTCACCACGCGCGTATTTTCAGTGTGGATATGGATGAGGAGGGAGCGTTACCTGATCAGTTTCGTGCGCAGATCCACGCTGCACGCGAGCAGGGCTATTTTGTACCGTTCTATTACACGGTTCCTGACGGCCATAATCCAGCAGGCTTTTCTTTTTCTCAGGCGCGCAGGGAAGCCCTGCTTGAAATCGCGCGGGAGGAAGGCATTCTGATTGTCGAAGACGCACCTTATCTTTATATAAACTTTGCGCCGTCGTCTGCGCGCCCGAAGCCATTTTTTGCCCTGGCGCCAGAGCAGACAGTACACCTGTTCACCGGTTCCAAAATTGGCTTCCCGGGCCCCAGAGTAGGGTTCTTATATAGTGAGGCAACCCTGGCAATCGCTGACGGCAAGACAGTTGATCTGGCTGAAATGGCGTTAACCGAAGCCAGCTCTGACATCCTTTTTCAGAATCCATCTGCCCTGCGTGGATTTGAAGCATTGTTGCACGATGCGCAATTCAATCCCATCAGCAGTATGTGGTTGCTGGCGGAAGAGAAGTTGGGCGTCTACCGTGAAAATCGGGAAATTCTGCTGTCTATTCTGGCTGAAAAATTAGGCCAGTATCCTGAATACTTTTCCTGGACTCAGCCCGAAGCCGGGTTCTTCTCTGTGTTCACGTTCAAAAAATCTTCGATCAGAACCGATGACAGTTTTATTGAGTCGCTGGTGGCTGAATATGGTGTGGTTGCGATCCCAATGTATGATTTCTATCCGGCTGATGCAAAAGTGCGTGACCCTCATGCCGGAATGAATCAATTACGTTTGAGCTTCTGTTTCAGCGAAAGCAAAGGTGAGGCCAGGCGCAATGATATGCGTGAAGCGGTTTCTGCATTCTGTGATGCAGCGTTGACGCTGGCCGGGCTTCAATCCTCGCCAGGTTAATCTTTTTTACGCTGGGCGCTGATGCGCTCGGTGTTGAAACCCAGCCAGTGCATACGCCCCTGATAGCGGGCATGTTCGATCTTTATGCATTTATCAACAATGCATTGAAGGCCACCTTCCTGGGCTATAGCAATGCCTTCAGCGCTGACCACGCCAAATTGCAGCCACAAAAATTTAGCCCCTATTTCAACAGCTGCTCGGGCAATGTCCGGCACCGCGCTGCTGTCTCTGAATACGTCCACCACATCAATCGGGGTGGGGACATCCTGCAGGGTCGGATAGCTTTTAAGGCCATAGATTTCATCTTCACGCGGGTTGACCGGGGTTACCTGGTAGCCGTTACGATGCATGTAATAGCCCACAAAGTTGCTCGCGCGCAGTTCATTGGATGACATGCCAACAACGGCGATCTGCTGACACTGCAGGGCCGCCATTATGGTTTCAGGCTGCTGCCAGGAGGATAAATCTGTGATGTCGACACTCATGCTTTGATCTCCGTCAGTTGTGCCAGTGCGTAATCAATATCAGCAATCAGATCCTGCGCGTCTTCAATGCCAATGGATACGCGAATAGTCCCCGGGCCGATGCCGCTGGCCGCAAGTTCTGTATCGTTCAGTTGCCGATGGGTGGTGGTGGCAGGGTGGATAACCAGGCTTTTGGCATCACCTACGTTTGCCAGGTGGCTGAACAGTGATAAATTTTCGATAAATTTAATGCCTGCCTGTCTGCCACCGGCAAGATCAAAACAAAACACCGCACCGGGTCCTTCGGGTAAATATTTTGCAACCAGATCAGCGTATCTGGAACCGTCAAGACCTGCGTAATGTACCGCCGTCACGGCATCACACTGCTGCAGATGGGCGGCAACAGCTTTGGCATTGCTGACATGCTGGCGCATACGCAGAGGCAAAGTCTCTATACCCTGGGCGAGCATAAATGCGTTAAACGGGCTCATGCACGCGCCCAGGTCCCTTAGCGTTTCGGAGCGCAGCTTCATCAGATAGCCGAACGTGCCAAACGTCTCATGGAATTTAAGGCCGTGATAGGCTGGCGACGGTTCTGCGATCACCGGGAAGCGGCCGTTAGACCAATCAAATTCTCCGGATTCTACAACTACGCCGCCAATTGATGTGCCGTGTCCACCCATGAATTTGGTGGCGGAATGTACAACAATATCTGCACCAAATTTCAGAGGTTGGCACAGGTAGGGTGTGGCAAAGGTGTTGTCGATCATCAGCGGCACACCGGCAGCATGCGCAATTTCGGCGATGGCCTCGATGTCGAAGATGCAGCCGGATGGGTTGCCTATGGTTTCGCCGAAACACAATTTTGTGTTCGATTTGATGCCTTTCTGCCAGGCTTGAAGATCGTCAGGGTCAACAAAATCCAGCTCGACGCTCATCTTGCGGAGCACATGTTTGAACTGGGTGACGCTGCCACCATAAAGAGCCGCGGAGGCCAGCACATGGTCACCAGGCTCTAACAAAGTGAATAACGCGGCATTCTGTGCGGCCAGACCGCTGGCAAATGCCACGCCTCCAACACCCCCCTCAAGATTCGCAACACGTTCTTCGAAAGCGGCGACGGTAGGGTTCATGATGCGACTGTAGGTGTTACCGTACTCCTGCAGGTTGAAGTAGGCCGCTGCAGATTCCGCATCTTCAAACACGTAACTGGTGGTTTGATGGATCGGCATGGCCCTGGATCCGGTTTGTGGATCAGGGCGAGCCCCTGCATGCACCGCCCGGGTATGAAAGCCGGTAAATGTGGGTGGCACCGCCATGTGGGAGTTCCTTAAGTCTTGTGTTCAAATCGCTTTTACCCTAGCCGCCTTCGCCCCTGCAGGCAACAGATACACGTCCATCTGAATCGCAAATAGGCTGGACGAGTCGGCCTGAGCAATGGGACCATGACGATATGGATAACCGTATTAAAGTAGTTGTTGCCCTGGTGTTGATCGGGGTTTCATTCTGGCTCTATCAATACCTCGGTACCGCGACAATTGCGGTGAGCAGCGAACCTGCCGGCGCGCAGGTAAAAGTAGATGGGCGGGTGCGGGGTATAACACCCATTTCGCGGTTAGAGCTGGACAGCGGCAGCCATAAACTGGAAGTTGCACACAGTTTTTATCAGACCCACGTAGAAGGTCTGTCTTTGCGTCGTGGTGATCACCTTGTTAAGCATCTGGTGCTGGACGTCGGCGAAGGCACACTTTCACTGCTGTCGAATCCGCGCGGTGCCTGGGTGGAGGTGGATGGCGTGAGGCTGCGGGATAGAACGCCAACCACGCTGCAGACCAGCGCAGGTGAACACACCATTGTCATGGGTCAGGCCGAGCGGCGCGCCGTTGCCCAGGTGCACACGTTAAAAGCGCAGCAGACTCTGGAAGTGAACTTCAACCTGAACATAGATCCTCACGGCAGTTTGACCATGGTGACGCGGCCATCAAACGCTGCTGTTGAATTTGTGGATAAAGACCTGGTGTATGCGCCGCAGATGCGACTGCCCATAGGTGAATACACGGTGCGTGTCAGCCGACCCGGCTATGAGACGCAGACTTTTCGTTACACCGTACAGTATGGAGATAATCGGCACGAGGTGACGCTGGCCAGGGCGTATGGGCGCCTGGTTGTGACAACATCACCGGCAGAGGCAGATGTGCAGGTCAGCTACGATGAGGGAGGCCGTACGCAACGTAAACCCTACCAGAGCGATATGCAGGTGCCTTTAGGCGCGGTGGAATTACGTGCCCGTGCCATTGGCTATCGAACCGCTCTGCGTAAGCTCAACCTTACCGGCGAAGGTGCTACCGTGCGTTTCAATCTTGAAGCCATGCAGGTGCAGGCCGGCCGTGTGTTCTCCGACGCTCTGGCTGTGGGTGGTCAGGGTCCGGAGCTGGTGGTGATTCCTGCTGGCCGCTTTGTAATGGGCAACGCCAGTGGTCCACCCTCTGAGCAACCTGCACACACGGTGGTTTTGCCGCAACCGTTTGCGGTGTCGAGATATGAAGTCACCATCGGTGATTATCTGAAGTACCTGCAGGATCGGGGGTTGGATCTGCATGAACGCCTGAACGCCGCGGACGTCACCCATGCGTTGGCCTATGTCAGTCACGCTGATGCCACAAAATACGCACAATGGCTGAGTGAACAAACCGGACAGACGTATCGCCTGCCATCGGAAGCGCAATGGGAATATGTTGCCCGTGCGGGTAGCCAGGAGACCTATTTCTTCGGACAGGATCCGGAGCAGCTGTGTACCTACGCAAATGTCGCTGATCGTGCCACCCGGCAGGTGTATCGCCAGTGGGAAACGCTGGCCTGTGACGACCAGATGGTTCGTCCTGGCCCCGTCGGCACTTATCAACCCAACGCCTTTGGCGTTTATGACATATACGGAAACGTTGCCGAATGGGTTGCAGACTGCGGCATGCCTGGGTATACCTTAGTGTCCGACGACGGTTCAGTTGCAAATACCGACGGCAGTTGTTCTAGCCATGGCGTGCGAGGTGGATCCTGGGATTCACAAGCCCTTGAAGCCAGTTCGTCGTATCGTTTTTCCGCCAGCAGTGCCAACGACGATCGAGGCATCCGCCTGCTGCGGGTGTTGTGAACAGCTGGGATAGTTCTCAGGCAAAAGGAGAAAAGAATGAGTGAATTAGAAGAATTTAGAGCAGACAGTCGAGCCTGGTTAGAGGCCAACTGCCCAGCGTCGATCCGTTCAAATATGCCCGCTGATGAATACCCAGGCGGTGGTCGTCGTGCTCGATATAAAAACCCCGATACCAAATTGTGGCTGGAACGCTGTGCAGAGCAGGGTTACACCGTACCGGCCTGGCCCAAGGCTGTGGGTGGCGCGGGTTTAAACAAGGACCAGGTTGTGGTCTGGCAGGAAGAAATGCGGCGCATCAATGCGCGCCCGCCTCTGGTTGGCATGGGCATCAGTATGATTGGCCCGGCGTTGTTGGAATATGGCACCGAAGCTCAGCAGCAGGAACACCTGCCGAAAATTGCCAGCGGTTCAATCTGGTGGTGTCAGGGCTACAGTGAGCCAGGATCAGGCTCAGATCTCGCCAGCCTGCGCACCTCGGCGGTGGAAGACGGCGACGATTACATCATCAACGGCCAGAAGATCTGGACCTCTGGCGCGGACAATGCCGACTGGATGTTCTGTCTGGTGCGTACCGACCCTGATGCGCCTAAACACGAAGGCATCAGTTTCATTCTGTTTGATATGACCACGCCGGGTATCACGGTGAAACCCATCAAACTGATCAGTGGTCTGTCACCGTTCTGCGAAACTTTTCTGGATAACGTGCGGGTACCAAAGTCCAACCTCGTGCACGAACTGAACAAAGGCTGGACCGTGGGCAAGCGACTGCTGCAGTACGAACGTGCCTCGATCGGTGGCATTGGCGGTGGTCAGAAGGTCCGCTCCATTGAAGACTATGCCAGTGAATATGTTGGTCTTGATGCGTCCGGCAGGATTGCCGACCCAGTCCTGCGTGGCAGCATCCTCAAGCACCGCATGAATGACCGGGCATTTGCTTTAACAACCAAACGCAGCATGCAGGAGTCTGCCACCGGCAAAGCACCCGGCGCGGTCTCGTCCATGTTCAAGTATTACGGTACCGAGCAGAATATAGGCAAATACGAATTGCTGCTGTCGGCGCTGGGTACCCAGGCAATGGGTTGGGCGGGTGACGATTTCACAGAAGATGAACTGACCACAACCCGGGCCTGGTTGCGATCCAAAGCTAACTCAATTGAGGGTGGCACATCGGAAGTGCAGCTGAATATTATTGCTAAACGGGTGCTGGGTTTGCCGGACTAACAGATTTCTTTAAGGTACAGGGGAGAGGGGAGATGATGAGAATCTTAATGGCAGCGATGCTGCTTGTTTGGGGTGCAGCGGTTTTTGCTCACGATGAAGTAGCCGAGCGTGGCGATGGCCCCATGAATCTTGACGAGCTGATGGCGGCTTTCGGTTGGGACTTTGAAGCGGCACAGATCCGCACGGAAAAAGTTGCTGACGGTCTTTATGTTCTGTTTGGTGTCGGTGGCAATATCGGCGTCAGTATCGGCGCACAGGGTGTGCTGCTGGTAGACGATCAGTTTCCTCAGATGATGCCAAAAATCAGCGAAGCCATTCGTGAAATTGGCGGCGGCGGGGTAGATTTTGCGATCAATACTCACTGGCACTTCGACCACGCTGAAGGCAATCTGGCGCTGGGGCCTGGTGGCACGTGGCTGGTGAGTCAGGCCAATTCCCGCGAGATGATGCTCGATGATCACGTCATCAACCTGGTTGCCGTGCAGTACGAACAGAAGGCTTATCCTAAAGCTGCCCTGCCGGTGATCACCTATGACGACACCATGCAGTTCCACTTCAATGATCAGGAAATTGAGCTGCTGCACTTCGGCCCCGCTCATACCACAGGTGATACGGCGATCATTTTCCGGGGCAGCAACGCGGTGCATCTGGGTGATGTGTTTAATCGCTCCGGTTACCCTTTCATTGATGCCGATAATGGCGGCGACCTGCGCGGTATGATTAATTTCTGCCAGTCTGTGCTGGACGCAATTGATGAAAACACCATTGTTATTCCCGGTCACGGTGAAGTGTCGGACTATGCCGGTTTGCGCAGCTATATTGCGATGTTAGAAGATATGCACCAGAGTATTGGCAGTATGGTCAAGGCGGGTAAAAGCCTTGCTGAAGTTATTGCTGCTGCGCCGACAAAAGCTTATGACGATGTTTTTGGCGATTCATCCAACTTTGTCGATCGAGCTTATGCGAGTTTGAGTCGGGAACAGGCGGCTAACTAGCTAGAAGGTCAGTGCCCAGCCTACCAGCAGTGGTAGGCTCAACACGCTCATCACCGTACTCTGCAGAATAACGGCGGCCACCTTGTCCGGCTCGCGATTGTAGCGCTCTGCAAATACGTAGTTGAACACCGCCGCCGGCATGGTGGCCTGCAGCAGCACAACACCGGCCAGCATACCGGTCAGATCAAACAGGTAAATCGCGGCCAACCCCAGCACAAGTCCAATTGCCAGACGCATCACCGCAACGGTCAGCGTCTCGCGTACTGAAGATATATTCAAACGGGCCAGCGACGTGCCCAGCATCAACAGCATGGCAGGGATGGTCAATCCACCAAGAATGCTGGTGGTGGCGTTAAACCAGCGTGGCATGGTTGTTTCTGTGGCCAGTACAGTAACAACCACCAACACGGCCCAGATAACCGGTTGTTTCAGCAGCTGGGTTGGATGGAACTCCCCGGAAGATACGGCCAGCCCAAGGGTGTACTGAGAAATGGAGTTGACAAAAAAGTACGCCATGCCCAGTGCAAGACCGGTTTCACCAAAAGCCAGCAGCACCACGGGCAAACCCATGTTGCCGCCATTCGGGTGTACCAGTGCGGGCAGATATGTGCGGAAAGGCCAGCCGGTTATTTTCAGGAAAATCAGTGCCAGGCCGACACTGCAGACAATCACAAACAAGGCTGCCAGCGCCATTTGCGCAAGCACCTCAAGTCCGGGTGCATTGGTTGTCAGAGATGAATAAATCAGACACGGGCTGCCGACATACATGACAAGCGAGCTAACAGTAAGGTTGTCAAACGGCTGTTCGCGTTTGATCCAGATGTAACCTACGCCGGCAATGATAAAAACCGGAGCAACAACGGTGAAAACTTCCTGCAGCACGACGGGGATAGAGGCCAAAGCCCGCTATTCTAGTCGTTTAGTCCTGCTTATGCAGGTAAAAAACCGTCATACAAACCACAAAGGCAAGCTGGCATTTAGAAGAATCCGATGGTCGCAGGGTCTATACTGGCACAGGTGCTGTTCAACGCTTCATATTCCGCCTGTACAAAGTGTGGGGCGCGGAAGTTACGCGCATAAACCTTGCACTGATCAGCCGGGTCCGTGAAGCCCGTGTCAGCTGCCAGTTCAGCTTTGATGCTGGCAATAGTCACCTCTTCATCAGACATGAAAATGCCCTGGTCTCCCGGCGTGTCGAGAATAATTGAGCGCTTGCCATCTGTATTCCAGGCCAGCCAGGGCGTCTCGTTAGTGCCGCGACCCATGCCCGGGTTGCCGGTGTACGCAAATTCGCTCCAATAGGACATCATGCTGTCAGACAGTGCCATCTGATTTTCATCACCAGGGTAGATGTAGCTTACCCCCAGGCCGTCATCGAAGCTGCCAAACACAAACGCAATTTCCAGACCGTGGGCGGCGCCTAACGCAACACTTAAGTCAAAGCCGAATTGTGAAGGTTCTTCGTCCCAGTCAAACCGGTAGGCGTAAACGTCAGGATTACCCGCTGCACGCATGTAGTTGGCCAGCGAATCCACGCCGCGTTCTTTCCAGGCGAGCGCGCCGTATTTCACGATGCGTTTGTAGGTCTCAGGATCTTTGAGACGCGGCAGAAATCCCAGCCAGTTCTCCACGTACCGTGGATCTCGGGTCATAAACAGAGCCGGTTCGTCGCGGTTGGTGCCCAGAATAACAGGGACCATATTATGGTTGTCCGGACTGCTGAAGATTTCCTCGGTGCTCATGTCCGGTAACACATAGCCGTCACCAAAATTATCCGGCACGTTGATCATGCCAAAGCCGCCGCCATCAAACTGAGCAAAAAACTCCTGCATGGGTTTGTTATACAGATAGTCCCGCAGACGCCTACTGCTCATGTCGTTCTGGTAATCGATGGCATCCTGTCTGGAGTCTGCGGTGCCGTCTGCCATGAGCATATTGGCGACTATTTCCTGGCTGCTGAAGGGGTGGCCGTCAGCTTCGGCATAATTCTGTGCTCGACTTAAAGGTGTGGTCTGAAAGCCACCACTCTGCACAATGGCACGATGGAACAAGCCTTCAGCCAGCGGTGATGCCATCATGGCCAGCGTATCGAAAGCGCCGGCAGATTCACCAAACACCGTGACGTTATCGGGGTTGCCACCAAAATTGCCGATGTTTTCCGCTACCCACTCCAGTCCGCGAATCGCGTCCAGGGTGCCATAGTTACCGGAATCGTCCAGTGCATTGCCGCTGTTCAACCCAGGGTGACTGAACCAGCCGAACACGCCAAGTCGGTAATTAATGGTGACGACCACGACGTTATGCCGGGTTGCCAGGGCGGCACCGTTGTAGCTGCCACCATGTCCGATGGTGTTGCCGCCGCCGTGAATCCAGTACATCACAGGCAGATCAACGGCGTTCGGTGGGGACCAGACATTCAGGTACAGGCAATCTTCTGAGCCGGCAATAGATCCGGCGGTAAATTCGCTACTGCTCAGCTGGGAGGCAAACTGCGGACACATGCCACCCGTCTGCATGGCTTCAAACACACCCTCATGAGGAGCGGGCGGTTTGGGTGCGCGCCAGCGGTTATCGCCTGTGGGTGCCAGTGCAAATGGAATGCCCAGCCAGGCCCTGGCGCCATGCTGATCTCGAAATCCAACCACATCTCCGGCAGTGGTCCGGCGCAGGGTGGTGTTGTCGCGGACGGGTTCAAATACGGGTTCGGAGTCCACTGAGCTGAGAAACAGATTGGCTGCGATCACAACAACGATGCCGATCACGATCAGGATAATGGCGGCTTTTCTCACTGAATTTCCTCCCTTGAAACGTATGAGTGGCTTAACCTGGACGCTACTCTACCATTTTTAAAAGCCACGCTCTGTGGTAGAACATAGCGCGAGCAGGGTGACAAATATTGAGGGTGGAGTAGATGACAACGTACGACACGATAATTCGCGGCGGCACGGTGATTGACGGAACCGGCGCTGCAGCGCAGACGGCTGATGTGGGTATAAAAGATGGTTTGATTGCCGATGTTGGCCAGCTCAGCGGTCGGGCGGATCGACAGATTGACGCGGATGGCGCTCTGGTTACCCCTGGCTTTGTTGATATCCACACCCATTACGATGGCCAGGCCACCTGGTCAAACCGTATGTCTCCCTCCAGTCATCATGGGGTGACCACCGTGATCATGGGTAACTGTGGTGTTGGTTTTGCGCCGGTGCGTCCCGCGGATCACGATGTGCTGATTGAGTTGATGGAAGGCGTTGAGGATATTCCCGGTGTGGCGCTGCATGAAGGCTTGCCCTGGTCCTGGGAATCGTTTCCCGATTACATGGATTTCCTGAGTCAGCGCCAGTTTGATATGGATCTGGGTGCGCAGATTCCGCACGCCGCTTTGCGTGTGTATGTCATGGGACAACGTGGTGCAGATCGAGAGCCGGCCAATGCCGAGGATATTGTGCAGATGCGTGAGCTTACCCGTCAGGCAATTGCCGCGGGTGCTCTGGGTTTCACCAGTTCGCGCACGTTGAATCACCGAAGTTCAAAAGGCGCGCCAACCCCCTCTTTAAAAGCTGAAATTGATGAGCTGATGGGTGTTGCTGCAGGTTTGAAAGATGCGGGTCGTGGGGTAATGGAAATGATCTCCGACTTTGTTGACCTGGATGATGAGTTCTCTCTGTTGCAACAGATGGTGGCGCATTCCGGTCGGCCAATGTCTATTTCTCTGGCCCAGGGGTTGTCCCCGCATGGGTGGAAAAAAGTGTTGGGCAAAATAGAAGATGCCGCGAGTCAGGGGTTGGTTATGCGCGGCCAGGTGGCGCCGCGTCCGATTGGCATTCTGCTGGGGCTGACAACAACACTGTCGCCGTTTACCACGCGACCTTCTTTCATGCAGCTGCAAGGCTTGCCGCTGGCGGACAAAGTTGCTGCGCTGCGCGACCCGCAACGTAAAGCCAGGATTCTCAGCGAAGAAACAGCCCCGGGTTTTGCGCGCCTCTTCAAGCTGATGGATGAGGGCCGCAAAATATGGGTGTTAGGCGATCCACCTGATTATGAGCCAGCGCCAGAAAACAGTCTGCATGCGCGGGCTGCACAAGCAGGGGTGTCGCACTGGGAATATGTTTACGATCAGATGCTTGAGGGTGAAGGCAAAGCCATCCTCTACACGCCGTTTGCGAACTATGCAGAAAACAATCTTGATTGTTGTCGCGAAATGATTTTGAGCCAGAACACGGTCATGGGTTTAGGTGATGGCGGTGCGCATGTCGGCACCATTTGTGATGCGAGTTTCATCACAACCTTGCTGACCCACTGGGGGCGCGATCGCAGCCGTGGAGAGCAGATTGATCTGCCGACGCTGATAAGAAATCAGACCCGGGATACCGCTCGTGCGGTAGATCTGTTTGATCGCGGCACCCTGCAGGCGGGCATGCGTGCAGATGTTAACGTCATCGATTTTGAACACCTTAACGTGCGCGTGCCGGAAATTGTGCACGACCTGCCTGCCGGTGGTGCGCGTCTGCAGCAGAAGGCGGATGGTTATCTGGCCACGCTGGTGGCGGGAGAGGTGACCTATCGTCTTGGCGAAGCCACCGATGCGTTGCCCGGACGCCTGATCAGGCCATAACCCGTGCAGGGTCCGCTGCAGCATATAAAGGTCCTTGATCTGACCATCGCGCGGGCGGGGCCAACCGCCGTGCGCCTGCTTGCAGATTGGGGCGCCGATGTTATCAAGATAGAACCGCCTCGAAGCAGTGGCTCTGCCACCGGCAGTCGCCGTGGTCCTGACGAACAGAATCTGCATCGCAACAAACGCGCGCTGTCGTTAGATTTGAAAGACCCTGCGGGACAGCAGGTTTTTCACCAGATGGCGCAGCAGGCGGATATTGTGGTGGAAAACTTTCGCAGCGATGTGAAATTTCGTTTAGGCGTGGATTACGAGACGTTGTCGACAATTAATCCGCGGCTGATTTATGCCAGCATCTCGGGTTTTGGTCAGGATGGCCCCTACGCAACCCGTCCAGGTGTGGATCAGATCATTCAGGGCATGAGTGGCCTGATGTCGATCACCGGTGAGCCTGGCCAGGGTCCCATGCGTGTGGGTGTGGCCATCAGCGATACCTCTGCAGGTATGTTCCTCGGCCAGGGTATTCTGTTGGCGCTGATCCATCGTCAGCAGACCGGGAAAGGCCAGTGGGTACAGACGTCTCTGCTGGAAGCCATGCTGAGCAAGCTGGATTTTCAGGGTGCGCGGTACACAATGAATGGTGAGATCCCTGACCAGCAGGGTAACGATCATCCCACCCAGGTGCCTATGGGTACGCTCCAGGCCAGTGATGGATTTATCAATGTGGCGGCTTACGGAGAGGTGATGTGGGGCAGGTTCTGTGAAGCGCTTAACGCTGATGCCCTGCGCAGCCATCCAGACTATCAGAGTGTTGCCGCGCGGGTATCTCGGCGTGACACCCTGAAAGCGGATATGAACGAGGTCACTCGTCAGTTTACGGTCGCTGAGCTGACCGAGCGGTTAACTGCCGCTGGTGTGCCCGCCGGCCCCATCAATAACGTGGGTGAAGCCTTTGAAGACCCGCAGGTGAAACATCTGGGCATGGCCATACCGGCCCCGCATCCGCAGCTGGGTGAGCTGAAACTGGTGCGCTCACCAATACATTTATCTGCGTTTGCGCAGGCCCAGCGATTTGATTGTGCTGCCCCCGACCCGGGTAAAGATTCAGCCGACGTGCTGGCAGATTTTGGCTATACCCCCGAGCAGATAGACGCGCTGTTAGAGCAGGGCACCATTTCCAGCAACACCACTTCCCGCACCTCTACAAGCGATAAAAAATGAAGCTACGCACTGCAGCGGGATATGCCGTCGGCGATTTCGGCATCAACCTGTATTTCATTTCCGTCATGACTTATCTGCTGTATTTCTATACCGATGTGATGGGCATCAGTGCCGCCGCGGCAGGCGGTGTATTTGCGGTTGCTCGATTTGTTGATGCCATAACCGATCCGATTATGGGGATGATTGCTGAACGCACGCGTACACGTTGGGGACGTATGCGTCCCTATATCCTGTTTGGCGCTATTCCGCTGGCGCTGATCAGTATTCTGACGTTTACCGTGCCGGATACCGATATGGCAGGCAAAGTCACCTGGGCGTACACCACTTATATTCTGTTTGGCCTGATTTATACCGTGGTCACCATTCCCTACGCGACGTTAACAGCATCGCTGACCCAGGATTATCAGGCGCGCACAAAGCTGTCCACCTATCGAATTGGCTGCGCCTTTGCCGGCGGTTTTCTGGTCTCCGTAGGTACCTTCCCGCTGGTGAGCCTGTTTGATGACGAGGCCCTGGGTTTTCAGGTGTTGATGCTGGGCTTTGCAGTGGTGGCCACTGCTTTGTTGTGGGTCACCTTTGCAACCACCCGCGAAGTGGTCACGCCGAAGGTGGAAAAAATATCCATCAAAGACAGCCTGTTGGCGATCAGCCGTAATCCACCACTGCTTGTGGTGATCGGCATCTTCAGCTGCGGTATGTTGAGTTTTACCGTACGGCAAACCACAACCGCCTACTTTTTCATTTACAACGTCGGCGATCCGTCCCTGATCTCCTGGTTTTTCACATTAACGTTGGGGTGCATGTTAATCGGTATCTGGGCGGTGCCGAGCCTGGCGGAACGTTTTGGCAAAGCAGGTGCCACACGCCTGGGTGCTTACCTGACAATCCTTGCCTGTGTCGGCTTTTACCTGACACCCTATGATGCCATTACCGCAATCTTTTTCTGGGGTTGTCTGGTGGCGTTGGGGGGCACGCCGGTTGCCGTGCTGGGTTGGGCGATGATTCCTGACACCGTGGAATATGCTCAGCTTAAACATGGCGTGCGCGCGGATGGCGCAATTTACTCTACCGCCAGTTTCTTCCAGAAACTGGCCAAAACCGTGGGCGGTGCAGGGGTAGCCTTTGCGCTGGGGTTTGCCGGTTATGTGGCCAACGCAGAACAGACACCTGCAGCGTTGGAGACCATCCATGTCCTGCTCACCCTGGTACCCATTGGCATCATGGTAGTGCTGATTGTGCTGACCCGAATTTACAGTTTAGGTCGAGATCAGCACGCTGAGATTGTCTCGCAGTTGAGCTAGTGTTTAACCTCAGCAGAAGTGCCCCAGGCCTCACGTAGCTTGTTTATGTTAAACCCTGGCTCCCGCGCAGCGCCGATAATCACAGCTTCTGCTGCGGCAACCTTTCTGGCCGCGTCGAGCACTTTGTCAGCCACTTCCCAGGGAATCACCACGGCGCCGTGCTGATCCGCGTGGATCAGCTCGTCGCTGACGACACGCATGCCGGCAACAGTCACAGGCTGGCCATAACCCACCACGTGCACAAACGCGTGAGACGGTCCCACCCGATCAGCCATCATCTGAAAGCCTGGGGGAATATCCGGCAGGTCTCTGACAGAACCGTCGGTGATCACCCCCAGGGCACCAAAGCCTTTATGGATGCTGGCGTTGACCTCACCCCACCAGGAACCACAGGCGCGCTGAGGGCCGTCCAGATCCTGAATAACAATGATGCTCGGCTTGGGGCCTTCATCAATATAAGTGTAATAACCATCATTCATGTCTTTAACAGCCTGACCACGCAGGTGGGTAGGGTGCGCTGCCCGAATCGTGGCGGTGCGGGCGATGCCTACCATGGGCGGCAATTCCGGTCGTGTGCAAACCAGCGCCTGGGTTGTGAAGCCGTAACCACGACGTTCCGGAATCAGTAATTCCAGGGCGTTACATACCGTTGGTGTATCGATGGACTGCAGATCGGCGATCAGCTCTTTGCTCAGCTCGGTCATGATGAGGCCTCCAGGGTTTTGCTCAATGCGCTATCGTATTCCGCCTGATGATCCTCTTTGTGCCATTCCAGGAACAGTATTTTCATGGCCATAACCACCGCCATGGGGTCATCAAACATCAGGTGGTGATAGGTGCCCGGGAACGTAATGGTCGGCAGCAGGCCGTTGGTGATATCGGCCATATGCTGGGCGTAGAAAGCACCTTCATCTTCGCTGAACTCACCCAGCATCAAAGCGCTGCGGCATTTCAGCGCGGCAAATTTATCCCTTTGAGACACACCCATTTCCATATAGTCAAACAGACCCGGATCAAACTTCCAGGTCCAGCCACCTTCGACTTCTTTGAGGCCATATTCCGCCATATGGGTCAGCAGTGCCGGGTGTACGCCGGGCTGTTCCGGGATCAGGCGGAAGCGGCCGAGGGCGGTTGCCTTGTCTTCGTAAACCCGCAGTTTGCGGCCGGGTTTTACCCCATCGCGCTCAACCCGCAGGCCCCATTCCATGTATTCCTCAGGTGGAGCAGTGGTGAAATCCATAAACAGGATGCCACCGAGGTGTTCGCTGTAATAGTGGCCGGTTTCCAATGCAGCAAAGCCGCCAAAACTGTGGCCGACAACAATCGGGCGCTCGCCCAGTTCTCCAGCCTGGCAGACCGCCCAGACCTCATCTGCAAAGTTTTTACCCGTGTACTTCTCCCGCCAGTCACTGTTGCCGTTGCCGGACAGGTCGATGGCGGCGACCCGAAAACGGTCAGCCAGAAATGGCGCGGTAAAGCGCCACCATTCAAGATGGGCGTTGCTGCCGTGGATCAGCACAATGCCGGGGTTACCGACATCGCCCCAGGTTTCAAAGACGATGTTTGCGCCATCGACCAGGACATTGCCGGATTGGGAGGGGACTTCAAGGGCCTGGTTAAACCAGAAGGGTAGATCTGACATACTTATGCACGCTAAAGCCGCACGGCTCTCAGTTAAAAAAGGCAGAACAATATCATTTATTTGCTGTTCTGGGATGCCCCGGCAGCTATCGCCTGCCGCTAATCGGAAAAAACAGATGCTCAGCACCACAACTACCCATATCGACTGCCCCTATTGCGGCGAAACCTTTGAGCTGGTGGTCGATCCCAGCGAAACCTCGCAGAGTTACATTGAAGATTGTTATGTCTGCTGCCGGCCCATTCACCTCGACGTTACTGTAGATGCAGAAGGGGATGTCATGGTGATCGCCAGAGATGAGAACGAGTGTTAAGTTCTACACCTGCGTAAACGGGGACTTTGGGGAGACAAATGGAACACCTGTTAGAAGACATCACAGTGATCGATGCGGCGACCTATCTGGCCGGCCCGGGTGCCGCTACTATTCTGGCCGACTTCGGCGCTAACGTGATTAAAATTGAACCGCCGGGTGGGGATGGCTATCGAAGCCTGGTGGGCGCTTATCCGGTACCGTACCACTGGCTGCTCACGTCGCGGAACAAGCGCAGCCTGGCGATGGATCTGCGCAGTGATGCCGGCCAGGCGCTTATGCATGATCTGGTGGCCAAAGCAGATGTGCTGACCACCAATTTCATGCGTCCCCAGCTCGAAAAGTATCAGCTGACCTACGAGACCTTAAAAAAGGTCAATCCGCGCCTGATTTTTGCGCACATCTCGGGGTATGGCCTGAAAGGACCAGATGCCGACCGGCGCGCGTTTGATGTGACCGGCTGGTGGGCACGCTCGGGTCTGATGGAATTTATCCGCGAACCTGACCAGACGCCGCTGCCCATGGCCCCGGGCATGGGTGATCACTGCACTGCAACAGCGTTGTTTGGTGCCGTGATGACGGGTTTATACCGTCGTGAGCGCACCGGCGAAGGATCGTTTGTGTCAACTTCGCTGGCAGCAAATGGCGTGTGGGCCAACGGCATGGCCCTGCAGGGGGTGATAGCAGGCAACAATATCGGCACCTATCGGCAGGCCAAAGGCTGGCCGAATCCGTTCAGTGACGTGTACCGCTGCAGCGATGGCGACTATGTGGTGCTGGCGGTGATCAACACCGCGCGGGAATATCCCGCGCTGGCAGGTGCACTTGGGTGCAGCCACTGGCTGCAAGACGAGCGGTTTGCCAGTGTTGGCAGCGTGATGAAAAACCGACCGGACTTCCACCTGGCAATGGCCGAGGCTTTTTCTAAATTCAGTTTTGCCGAGGTCAGCAAACTTCTGGAAACAGCGGGGGTGACCTTCAGTCGGGTGACGCCGATGGGTGACATTATTGAAGACGAGCAAATGCGCGCCAATGACATTGTGGTTGAAACGGATGACGAGGGTGAGGGTTATCCGTTGACCATCAACAGCCCTATCACCGTAGCGGAATCTCCCAAACGAAAACCCAGGCGGGCACCCGATGTGGGCGCAGACAGTCTGGCTGTGCTGCGAGAGGTGGGTATTGAAGAAGAGCGAATTCAAGCGCTGCTGGCAAACGAGGTGATTTTTACTGATAAGGAGGGAGCATGAAACTAGGCATACATGCAGGTCCCCAGGATCTGTCCATGGAAGAGCTCAAGCGCCTCTGGCAGATTGGTGACACTAACGGTTTTCACTGGGTGTCCGTATGGGATCATTTTTACGCCAATCCATTGAAGGATAGGGAAAATCCCTGCTTTGAGGGTGTGGCTGCGATGGCAGGCCTGGCGGCCTCAACTTCCAATGTGCGTGTGGGCTGTCTTGTTTTCTGTGCCCTGTTTCGAAATCCGGGTGTGCTGGCCAAAGCCGGTGTCACCATTGATCATTTATCCGGTGGGCGCGCTGATGTAGGCATTGGCGCCGGCTGGTTTGAGGAAGAGTTCCGTGACTTTGGTTATGGCTTCCCGCCATTGGGTCAGCGATTTGATCAACTGGAAGAAGCACTGGAGATTATCACCGCGCTGTGGCGCGGCGAAAGCGTGGATTTCAAAGGCAAGTACTACACCATGAGTGAAGCCGTCTGCGCGCCGAAGCCCCTGGGCTTGCGTTTGTGGATTGGTGGTCGAGGTAAACAGCGTACCGTAGCGCTCGCTGCCAAATATGCAGACGGTTTTAATATGCCGTACGTGTCGCCGGAGATTGCGGCGGATCGCCTGTCCCGTTTGCAACAGGCCTGTGAAAAAATCGGCAGGGACCCGGCGGAGATCGACACCAGCGTCAATCTCGGCTTCTATATGAACTCGGATAGACAACCGGATATCGACCCGAACGGTTCCTTAACCGGCAGTGCCCAGCAGGCGGTAGATCTGATTGGTCGCTTTCAGGATGTGGGCATTCAAGGCATCAATATTGCCTTTCGTCCGCCGGTAGATTGGGACAACCTGCAGGTCTACATTGAAGAGGTGATGCCTCATTTTGCCCGGTAGCCGCGCTGCCTGGATCAGCGGTTGCCGGTAATCTGTTTGCTGAACTCGAGCCATTGACCGCGTGTCGTCTGATAAGGCACGCGCAGCTCGCACACCGGTTCCGACTCAGGGACACGCATGGCGGTATGGGTCAGAGACAGAATAACGTCTTCTTCGGCACCTGCCGCCAGAGAAACCGGGGCGATGGCCTGGGGCGTGAACAGCCAGCGCTGGTCTGCCGAATCACAGCTTAACAGGACATTTATCTCTCGCTGACTGCTGTTGCGCAATGGAATAACAAGTTGATAAACGTCCTCCTGCAGTTCTTTGAGCTTGACTGAATTTGGTGCCAGCCGTTGATGCAGTGCAAAAAAATCATAATTATCGATGGGGGCAACCGTATCTTCGGGTTTGATGGCATCGGCTTTGATCACCGCAACGTCTAATTCTTCACCGCGCACCGACACCTGCAGCAGATGATGAAAACCGCCGACCGCTTCCACGTCGTTAACCGAATTGGCGGCGGCATTGGTCATGGTGTACGCGACACCGTCACGGACAAAGTGATGGTAGTGATGGTGGTGGCCGTAAAACACGCGCTTCACGCCGTTTTCAACAAACAGTTTATGCAGGCGCTCGCCGTTGGTGGTGAGCAGTGGCGGCCGGTGCATGAAAAGGATTTTGTGTTCAGCGGTGCTGTTCTTTAACACACCCTGCAGCCAGACCATTTGTTTGCCGGTGATGGTGTTAACCCCTTCCGTCGAATCGGTATTGAGCACCACAATCTGGGTATTCTTATATACAAACGTATAGTACAGCGGCCCCCAGTGTTTGATGTACAGATCTTCAAGCCGGGGGTCGACCTGCCGCTGACCGTTAAACACATCGTGATTGCCCGGTACTGCATAAAAAGGCACCGGTGCCAGTGGTCCAATCTGGCGGCTGAAACGCTGCCATTCTTCTTCAATAATCTCCAGATCGCTGTTGTAGCCCTCGATCAGGTCACCCGCCTGAATGACAAACGCCGGTCGCAGTCGACGGGTCTGGTCGATCACGCGATTGAACTTTGCCGGATCGTGAAACTGGGCGTCACCTAAGACCACAAAGTGGAATTCATCTGCCTCAACCTCAGGTGCTTCTATCTCCTGTGTTTTGGCCGCATGCGCATAGCCTGCAACGAGGTTGATGCAGAGGCTGAGTGCAAAACACAGAAACGTGCGCATGTGGGAGTCCATGGCGTTGAAAAGTCAAAGTCTAGAGTGGGACCGGCGGGGGCACAATAGAGTAAACTCTCCGACGGATTAGGTTTCTACTGTGTTCTGTTAAAAACAGGGGAGAAAGATGACAACATTTCATGATCCAAGAGGCGAGGTGGCAACAGCTGCTGAGCCTTATACGCTGAGCTACAACCTCACCGCAGAGGAAGGCGCCGGTACCACGGTTGGTCTGCTGGCCAACGGTTTTCCGGATTCAGATAACTTCCTGCACGCGGTCGGCGCCGCCCTTACTAAACGGCTACCTGGTCTGCAGGTGAAATTCTGGAATAAAGGCAATGCCTCAATTCCAGCACCAGATGACATGCTGGCTGAAATCAAAGCCAGTTGTCAGGTGGCCATTGCCGCCTATGGCCATTGAGGCAGTTGTACTACCGGCACCGTGCGTGACGGCATCAGTATGGCTCGTTTAGGTATTCCTTCAGTTGCCCTGGTCACTGAAGATTTCTGGCCCCAGGGAGATTTCACCGCCCGTTCGCTGGGTATGCCGGATGCCCCCCGTGTGCAGCTGCCACATCCCGTGGCAGGTACAGGCGAGGCAAATCTGCAGCGCGTGGCCAGCACCATAGTGGACAACATTGTGCGGAGTTTTACGGCGGAGCCCAAACATGTCTGAGTGGCTTGAGGCTGCGGATGAAGCCGCGGCACTGGAACAGTTACACGACCTTGGCTGTACGGACGGCCTGCCAGTGGTCATTCCCACCGCTGAGCGGGTAGAGCGTATGGTGCTGGCCAGTGCCCAGGCGTCAGACATGGTGCTGGGTGTTATGGGTCCGGCCTTAGGGGTAGCAACGGTAGAAAAAGTTGCTGTTGCAGCAGTGATGGCCGGCTGCACCGCAGAGCATATGCCTGTGGTGATGGCGGCCGTACAGGCAGTGCTACAGCCTGAATTTGATTTAACTGAAATGCAGTCCACCACCCACTGTACGGCGCCACTGATTATCGTCAATGGACCGGCAAGAAACGAATGTGGCGGCATTGCCAGTGGTTTTGGCGCGCTGGGCCCCGGCCATCGTGCTAACGCCAGCATCGGTCGTGCGTTGCGCCTGACCATGATCAATATTGGTGGCGCGCGTCCGGGTTCATCGGATATGGCGCTGCTTGGGCATCCCGGCAAATTCACTTACTGTCTGGCAGAAGACGAAGAACATTCACCGTTTACGCCGCTGCATGTTGGTCGCGGATTTAAGCCTGAAGACAGCGTGGTGACGGTAATCGGTGCGGAAGCCCCGCACTCGGTGATCTACTCGGGCAATGCGGACGATCCTGATGATGCGGAGAATCTGTTACATCAGCTGGCGGTAGGGCTGGCCAATATGGCCACCAACAATGCCGTGCTCACCGGTGGCGGGGCGGTTGTGGTTCTGAATCCGGAACATGCACAGATACTGTCTCAGGCCAATCTGACCCGTGAACACATCGTGCAACGCCTGTGGGAGCTGACGCATTTTCCCAAAGCACAGCTGAAACAGTATGGCGGCTCGTTTGCCACGCGGATAACCGGTGACGATGATTACCGTGCGTTTAACGCGCCAGACGATATTCTGCTGCTGATGGCCGGCGGCAGTGGTCTGTATTCCATGGTGATGCCCAGCTGGTGTGCAGGCAAACATAAAAACAGCGCGGTGAGTCAGCTTGTTGAGCTGAACCCCTTCTGCGAAATACCCGGGTAAGCCCCGTAAACTAATAAGTGATCCCTTTGAGACGGAGTAGTTGATGACCCTCATCAAACAAGAAGATGTAATTCAGAGTGTGGCCGATGCGCTGCAGTTCATTTCCTATTATCACCCGCTGGATTTTATCCGTGCCATGCGTGGTGCCTGGGAAAAAGAAGAATCCCCGGCGGCCAAGGCGGCATTGACCCAGGTGCTGGTGAATTCAAAAATGTGTGCCATGGGCAAGCGGCCCATCTGTCAGGACACCGGTATTGTTAACGTGTTTCTGACCGTGGGCATGGATGTGCAGTGGCAGGCGGATATGTCTGTTGAAGACATGATCAACGAAGGCGTGCGGCGTGGTTATACACACCCGGATAATGTCCTGCGCGGTTCGGTGTTGACCGACCCTGACGGCGCCCGCAGCAACACCAAAGACAACACCCCGGCGGTGATTCACACCAGAATTGTTGCCGGTGACAAAGTTGATATCGAAATTGCGGCCAAAGGTGGTGGCAGTGAAGCCAAGGCCAAGTTTGCCATGCTGAATCCCTCAGATGATGTGGTGGATTGGGTGCTCAGCGTTGTGCCCACCATGGGCGCCGGCTGGTGTCCACCAGGTCTGCTCGGTGTAGGCATCGGCGGTACGCCGGAAAAAGCCATGCTGCTGGCGAAAGAGTCGCTGATGGAGCCTCTCGACATGCACGAGCTGCAGGCCCGTGGTGCCAGTAACCATTATGAAGAGATGCGCCTGGAGCTGTTTGAAAAGGTCAACGGGCTGGGTATTGGTGCCCAGGGTCTGGGCGGCTTAACCACTGTGTTGGACGTTAAAGTCAAAGAATACCCAACCCACGCGGCGAACAAACCCGTTGCGGTGATTCCCAACTGCAGTGCCACCCGCCACGTACATTTTGAACTGGATGGTTCTGGTCCCGCTGAGTTTGTACCACCGGATCTGTCGGAATGGCCGGACATTGAATTTGAGCTGGGTGATGACGTGAAACGCGTCAACATGGATGAAATTACCCCTGAACTGGTGCAGTCACTGAAGTCCGGCGATACGCTGCTGTTGTCCGGAAAAATGCTGACCGGGCGTGACGCAGCGCATAAGAAGATTGCTGACCTGCTCGAAAAAGGTGAGCCTCTGCCGGTCGATTTCACCAATCGGTTTATCTATTACGTGGGCCCGGTTGACCCTGTGCGCGAAGAAGTGGTTGGCCCAGCCGGTCCAACCACCGCCACCCGCATGGATAAATTCACCCGCATGATGCTTGAGGAAACCGGCCTTGCCGGCATGATTGGCAAAGCCGAACGCGGGCCGGTGGCCATTGAAGCGATACGCGATAACAAAGCCGTGTACATGATTGCGGTGGGCGGCGCTGCTTATCTGGTGGCCAGGGCCATTACTAAATCAACGCTGGTGGCCTTCCCTGAACTGGGTATGGAAGCCATTTACGAATTTGAGGTGAAAGATATGCCGGTCACCGTTGCAGTGGATGCAGACGGCGAGTCGGTACACATTCAGGGGCCAAAAATCTGGTCGCAGAAAATCGCTGAGCGAATTCCAGCAAAAGCGGTATAACGCTCGCCAGACGCTGGTCTAATCCTCCAGGGCGTCGAGATACTTCTCGGCGTCCAGCGCGGCCATACAGCCGAAGCCGGCGCTGGTAATGGCCTGGCGATAAACATGGTCAGCCACGTCACCGGCAGCAAACACACCCGGCACGCTGGTTGCTGTGGCATTGCCTTCAATACCGCTGTGAATGCGGATGTAGCCGTTCTCCATATCCAGCTGATCAGCAAAAATGCCGGTGTTCGGTGTGTGGCCAATGGCAATGAACACACCCATCAGATCAATCTGCTTATCTTCGCCGTCATTGCTGGTGATGCGCATACCGTTAACACCCTGCTGGTCACCCAGCACTTCAGCAAGATTGTGGTTCCAGATGGGTTCGATGTTGGCTTTGGCCAGCAGGCGATCCTGCAGAATTTTTTCTGCGCGCAGCTCGTCGCGGCGATGCACCAGATATACCTTGTTGGTGATGTTGGCCAGATACAGGGCTTCTTCAACAGCGGTGTTGCCACCGCCAATAACCGCCACGTCCTGACCACGGTAGAAAAAGCCGTCGCAGGTGGCGCAGGCGCTGACGCCGCGGCCTTTGAAGTTTTCTTCTGACTCAAGGCCCAGATATTTGGCTGACGCGCCGGTAGCAATAATCAAGGCATCACAGGTGTAGGTGGCCTGGTCACCCATCAGTTTGAACGGCTTAACACCCACCTCGGCGGTATGGATGTGATCGTTGATGATCTGGGCATCAAAACGCTCTACGTGTTCCGCCATCTGCATCATGAGCTCCGGGCCCTGCAGTTCGGCGTGACCACCCGGCCAGTTCTCCACTTCTGTGGTGGTGGTGAGCTGACCGCCGACTTCAACGCCGGTAATCAGCGCTGGATTGAGGTTGGCGCGAGCGGCATACAAGGCTGCGGTATAACCGGCGGGTCCGGAGCCCAATACGATGAGCCGATGATGTACGTTTTCCGTCATGTGTATGCCGCGCTTAAAAAAGTAGGCCGCATTTTAGACCTTGGGTCGCGATGCGCAACCAGAGGAGGGCAACCGCGTGGATATATGCTTATATTTCACCGCAAATCAGGGCCTGTCAGCCAAACACGCTCTGGGTGGAGCGCTTCGAACCTAAAAGCTCTCCTACCCGGGCAACCACCTCTTCCGGTCGAAAAGGTTTGGCCAGATAGCTGGTCTGATGATCCGGTGTCCAGTCGTTGAGGGCGTCGTTGGTGAAACCGGAGATAAACAGTACCGGAAGGTCCGGTGCGCGCTCACGCAGTTCTCTGACCAGGCTGGCGCCGGTTATTCTCGGCATGACCACGTCGGTGATCACCAGGGACACACCGTTTGGTGAGAAAAAATCCCGTGCGGAGCTGACATCGGTGAATCCGCGCACATGGTAGCCCGCCCGTTGCAGGGCTTTGCGCACCACGCGCACAACGCCGGGATCGTCATCAATGACCATGATGCTCACTTCGTTATCGATGACGTCTAACGTCGGTTGATAGTCGCGGGTTTCAGCAATCGGCAGATAAACTTTAATCGTGGTACCCACACCTACCCTGGAATCAATTTCAATAAAACCGCCGTACTGGGAAACAATGCCGTAACAGGAAGACAGACCCAGGCCGGAATTGCTCTGCGTGTCTTTGGTACTGAAAAACGGATCAAAAATTCTTGCCTGGGTTTCGGCGTCTATGCCACGGCCGGAGTCACCCACTTCCAGCAGCGCGTAGTGACCGGATTTAGCGCCTTCAACGTCGCTGTCAAATTCCACCGACTGCAATGACACCTCCAGCTCACCGCCATCGGGCATCGCTTCCCGGGCGTTGTTCACCAGATTCACCAGCACCTGTTCAAACTGAGATTCATTGATACGAACCAGCAGCGGCTCTTCCACATAAGATTCAACCACGACATAGCGGGAGTCCAGCGTGTGCTGCAGCAGCAGGCTCTGTTCGCTCATGAGGTGGCTGAGGTCATGGATTTCCGACGATGCTGGCTGGCCGTGGCCAAAGGTGAGCAGCTTGTTGGTGAGATTGGCGGCGCTGCCGGCTACCCGCCGGATTTCATCCCGGGATGTGCCTTCCGGCAGCTCGTCGGTGATGCCCATAATCACCGTCAACATGTTGTTAAAGTCATGGGCGACAGCGGCCGCCATGGAGCCCATGCTTTCCAGGCGCTGGGCCTGGGTCAGCTGGTCGCCGACTTTGCGTTCTCTTTCGTAGTCGCGCAGGACAATCTGCACGTGATTAGGATTACCCTCCATCAGAATGCCGGGTGTTGCGTAAAGCTCAACCCAGACCCAACGGCCATCCGCATGGCGCAGCCTTACCTCACATCGCAGAGGCGGTTTTTCCGGGCTGAGCTGGTTCAGCAGCTGGGCTTCTTCCGGATGCAGATAGTAAGACAGTGGCTGGTCGATAAAATTGCCGGTTCTGTAACCCAGCAGCTTGTCTATACCCTCGGAGACAACAAACACTTCGTCACCTTTCACCTGCATGACGACGTCGAAATACTGCTCTATCAGAGATTGCAGAATGGATGCCTGTTGTTGGGTAGTGGCCGTGCGGGCGCGGGCGCGTTTATCTGAGCGGTTGCGTGAACGCTCGGATAACTGCACAACAAAAAAGACCACAACGGAAATCAATCCAGACACCGCGGCAATGGATGAAGCGTCAATACCCTCCACCGTGGAAGCGACATAAACACAGCGCAGCACAATGAGGCCAAGCCATACCCGGGAGCCAATCTTGCCCAGCAGTGCGACCGCTGCCGCGAGACTGATCAGCACCACACAACCGATGACGGGGTCAGTGGCCAGCAGAATGCTCTGGGTCAGGATGTTGCCAGCCATATAGTGGCCTGCAACAACGGCGCTTTTGAACATATGCAGGATGGCAATGGCCAGCGGGAAGGTCGTGGCAGCCAACAGCAGCAACCAGGCCTGGGGTGCATAGCCGTAACTGTAAGTCAGACCAGCCGAGGCGATGCCTGCAACCATGGCACCCAGGCTCAGGTAAACCAGCAGATGGGAAAAGCGGTCAGACTGTTTCTCCGCGGGCAGCAGGCTCTGGGCAAAATCAATTGCTCGCGACATGTTGTATCGCCCGGTCAGGCGCTCCCCTCGTAAAGTGTCTGGCATGGTAGCAAATTGCCCGGTCTGTGCTCGGCCGCAATTGTGCTTATAATGTTCGTCGTTTTTACAGGGGAGACGGACCATGGCGAGAGTTAAATTTGGTGCTTTTGTAGCGCCTCATCATCCCATCGGGGAACATCCAACACTGCAGCTGCAGCGCGATCTGGAGCTGGCAGCACACCTGGATAAGCTCGGGTACGATGAATTCTGGTGCGGTGAGCACCATTCTACCGGCTGGGAAGTGATTGCCAGCCCGGAGCTGTTCCTGGCTGCGGCTGGCGAGCGCACCCACAACATCAAGCTCGGCACCGGCGTGATTTCGCTGCCGTATCACCACCCGTTTAACGTGGCGCAACGCCTGGTGCAGCTGGATCACATGACCCGCGGTCGTCTGATCTTCGGTTCCGGCCCCGGCGCGTTACCGTCAGATGCTTACACGCTGGGTATCGATCCCATGGTTCAGCGCGACCGTCAGGATGAGGCCATTGGCGTGATTCGCAAACTTCTGCGTGGTGACGACCGTTTCACCCATGAAAGCGACTGGTTCACCTTAAAAGATGCCAAGCTGCAGCTGCTGCCATTGCAGGAAGATCTGCCTTTTGCGGTGGCGTCCATGATCAGCCCCTCCGGCATGACTCTGGCTGGCAAACATGGCACCGGGGTGTTGTCCATTGGCTCTATGAGCTCCGCCGGTTTACAGGCGCTGCCTACACAATGGTCTTTTGCGGAAACCGCGGCTGCCGAGCACGGTAATGTGGTGAATCGGGATAACTGGCGTGTGGTCATGTCCTGGCACATTGCGGAGACCAGAGAGCAAGCCAAGGCAGAAGCCAAAAACGGTCTGTATCGATGGCACAATGAATACACCGTAGGCACCTTGATGCGCCCCGGCGCACAACCCTACAGTTCACCAGACGAAGCGGTGTCTGATGAAGTGCTTGCAGCTGGCGGCGGGCTGATCGGCACGCCGGACGACATGATCAAAGCGGTGAAAGATATGCTGGAGCTGACCGGCGGCTTTGGCACCGTGATCGGATTTGCCCACGACTGGGCCAACCGTGAAGCCACCCTGCGCAGCTGGGACATGGTGGCCCGTTACGTGATTCCGGAAGTGAACGGTATGCTGGATAACTATCGCGAATCGCAGCAGTACGTGATTAACAACCGCGAAGTGTTTGATCGAGCAGGTGAGGCGGTGATGGCGAAAATCATGTCTAACGAGCAGGCTGTGGCGGCGATGAAACAGGAAGCGGACGGCCAGGCGGCGATGCCTGCGCACCACGCACCGGATCTGTCTGATAAAAGCAGCAGCGGCGGTTAGATAGCTGTGTTTTGAGGCGTCGCTCGCGGCGCCTTAAACCACCTCATCCTTCTGCAGCGCCTTGATGTCGTCTGCGCTGTAGCCCAGCGATAAAAGAATCTCTTCGGTATGCTCACCCAGCTGGGGCGGTGGGCGTTGTACCACCGGTGGTGCAGGCTCACTCATATGCCCTGAACTCACCACCTGTACCTGGGTGTCCGGCTCGCCGGGTTTGGCAATCGAGGTCAGGCTCAACCGATGCTGGTTCTGCTCATCTGCAGTAGATTCTGCCAGCGTCTGAATGGCTGCAGCGGGCACACCTTCGTCCTGCAGAATCTTCAGCCAGTGTGCGGTTGTGTTACCCGCAAACGCAGGGTTTAAAGCGGCGGCAAATTCCGCGCTGGCGCGAATCCGATCAACCGGTTCCGGATATTTTTCAAACAGATCTTCGCGACCAATTGCTCGCATCAGAGCCTGTGCCTGCGCATCGCGTAATCCGATAACCTGAATAAAACCGTCATTGGTGGCAAAAACGTTTGCGGTGGGTTGTTTGGTGGGCGAGGCGTTGCCCAACAATTCAGGCGTGATGCCGTTGACCAGATAATTACTCACCTGCGCTGCCTGCATGACAAAGGCCGAGTCCATCATGGACACATCAATACGCTGGCCTTCGCCGGTGACATGACGACGGAACAGGGCAGCACTGATAGCAAAAGCGGCATTGAGAGCAGTACTCATATCCACCGAGAAATACCCCGTGCGTACCGGGCCGGTTGCGGCGTGGCCGCTGATGCTCATCATGCCGGAAGCCGCTTGAATGGCACCGTCGAACGCGGGAAGTTCAGATTTTGGCCCACTCTGGCCGTAGCCCGAGATGGAGGCGTAGACGATGTCTGGCTTGCGCGCGCGCATGGCTTCGTAGCCAAACCCCAGCCTGTCTATGGTGCCGGGTTTGAAGTTCTCAACCACCGCATCCGCGGTATCCAGCAGTTTGAATATGATCTCTTTGGCCTGGGGATGTTTTAAATCCAGCGTCAAACTGCGTTTGCCCAGGTTACAGGTGAGGAACGACGGCGCCATGCCATCAGCCCCGGTGGAGAGCAGGCCGCGGGTGATGTCGCCAACACCGCGGGCTTCAATTTTGATGACATCAGCACCCAGCTGCGCCAGTTGCTGAGTGGCAAATGGACCGGCTAATACCTGGGTAAAATCCAGTATACGCAGGCCACTGAAGGCTTGATGATCGCTCATGGCTAACGTGGTGCCAGTTCAAATATCCACAGGTAACCGCTGGTGAAGGCTTCCATGGGTAACGGCGGGCCGCCCCCGTATTTGCGACCGAGTTCCGCCATGATGGGTTCGATGGCTGGGCCATCCATCACGCGCACCAGCTGGCGATCATATAATTTGCCGTCTACCCGCAGGATAGCGCGGCCGTCTTTTTCTGCCTGGATGGGCCACTGTTTCCAGATTTTGCCCCACCAGGTGGTCATGTAGCCGCTGGGAATGTAGATGCGGCCTTCATGTTCAGCAATCCAGGTGGTGCGGGATGCGGCAGGATCCAACAGCTGAAATTCAACCGTGTTGTAGTCTTTAACAAACGACCAGTCCGGCTCTTCGGTGACCTGCTGGCCAGAGGTAAATGGTCCGCCGGCAACAATTTCCATCGGTCCATCTGAAAAGCGTGCGGCAATCAGCGTGCCCGCGATGACCAGAACAATAAGGCCAAGCAGCCCGCCAATAATTTTGAGCAATATTTTCACAGTGTCGGCTCCCTAAACCTCTCCATGCAGGCATCGATAGTGTCTGTTCTACGTGCGCTTGTCGAGGCTTCCAAGGATCCGGCAAGTAACGAATAATGGCGGCTGGAGAAAATCATGTTTGCACAGATTACCGCGTTGCTGCCTCAGATAAAGGCCGCCGCCCAGGAGATTGAAAGTGAGCGGCAGTTGCCCACAGCACTTGTCGCCCGGCTGAAAAAAGCCGGCGCTTTCCGGCTGCTCATACCCAAGGAATTTGGTGGGCTGGAAGCCAGCTTCGAAGACTACCTGCCGCTGATTCAGTCTTTGGCAAAAGCCGATGCCAGCACCGCCTGGTGCGTGAATCAGGCTGCGGTGATTGGTACCACTTCACTGTGGCTGCCGGCAGAACAGATTAAGGCGATCTGGGCAGACCCGGAGACATCTGTCGCCAACGGTCCACCGTTTGCCGGTAAGATCAAACCCAGCAAACTAGGTTACACCCTGAATGGTCACTGGGGTTTTTCCAGCGGCTGCCAGCATGCCACCTGGATGATGGGTGCGGCACGTTACAGCGAAGGTGGCTGGCGTATTGCCTACTTCAAACCCGAGCAGGTGCATTTTATTGATAACTGGCAGACCGCGGGTTTGTGCGGTACCGGCAGTTTTGAATTCACCTGCAACAATATCGAGCTGCCTGCCTGCCAGGTCGCTGATGCGGGGCAACCTGCCACGTACGACAATGAGATGACGCGGATTCCCAGTGCATTGCTGTTTGGCTGCAGTTTTGCCGCGGTGGCGACGGGTGTTGCCCAGGGCGCGTTGGATGATGTGTTAGAGATAGCCCAGGGCAAGCTGCCGCGCTATGCCTCTCTGCAGTTACGGGATGACCCGGACGTACAGAGATTTATCGGCAAAGCCCAGGCCCGCTGGCGCAGTGCGCAGGCGTATCTGACCATGACGGTCGCAGATGCGTTTGCAGAGGTCCGGCGGGAAGGGCACATCACCCACGCCAATCGTGCGGCGCTGCGTATGTGCAGTACCCATGTGATACGCGAGTGTGCTGAGGTGCTGGACCTGGCCTACAAAGTGGCCGGTTCAACCGGCATCTATCAGGACCACACCCTGCAGCGACGCTTTCAGGATATGCACGTGATTACCCAACATGTGCAGGCACGGGAATCGTACTTTGCCTTGTTAGGCCGGTATGCTATTTCCGGCAACTACGAAACGGGACCCATGACATGAACGTTCGAGCAGACCTCGACCAGACTGAATTTGTCAGCAGCGCAGACTTTACCTGGCAGCCGTCACCCCTGGCCGGGGTGGAGCGCGTGCTGCTCGATCGTGTAGGGGATGAAGTGGCTGTTGCCACCAGCCTCGTGCGTTATGCCCCAGGGGCCAGTTTTGATCCGCACAAACACGCCCTGGGTGAAGAATTTGTGGTGCTGGAAGGGGTGTTTTCAGATGAACATGCCGATTACCCTGCAGGCAGCTACATCCGCAACCCACCGGGTACGGGTCACACGCCGCACAGTGATCCTGGCTGCGTTATTTTCGTGAAGCTGCGGCAGTTTGACGATGCTGATCTGACTCCCGTGGTCACACAGCTGCCCATGCAGACTAGTGCTCCCGCCAGTGCGCAACACGAACTGTATCGATACAAAGATGAAGCCGTGAGCTATGTGGAAGTGCCTGCAGGCCAACGGTTTGCTTTTGCGGCCTCGTATTATGTGCGCGAGCTGCTGATCATCAGCGGTGAGCTCGACTGGCAGCAGGAAGAGACCCGTCGCCTTGGACCCTGGAGCTGGATCCGCATGGCGCCGGGGCAACCGCTGCGTATCAATGCAGTCACACCGTGTGTAATGTTCAGTAAAACAAGACCGATATATAGGAATGCAGATGTCTAAGACCGCATTAATCACCGGCGCATCCGCCGGCCTGGGCGCTGAGTTTGCCCGTCAGCTGGCGCAGCAGGGCTACAACCTGGTGCTGGTGGCCCGGCGGCTGGAGAAATTGAATGAGCTGGCTGAGGGCTTGCAGGGTGAACACCCCAATTTAACCGTGAACTGTATAGCCGCAGACCTCAACGATAAACAAGCGCCACAACAGATTTTTGAGCAGACCCAATCGCTGGGCATCGAGATCGATTTTCTGATCAACAATGCAGGCGCCGCGGGCCCGGACCTGTTCACAGACAAACCCTGGCAACCCCATGCGGATTTTCTGCAGCTGATGATGTTGAGTGTTACCGAGTTATGCTATCTGTTTGTCCCCGGCATGGCGGAGCGCGGCTTTGGCCGCGTGATCAACGTGTCTTCTGTCGCTGCGCGAATTGCCCGCGCCGGTGACTGTCATTATGGCCCGAGCAAAACTTATCTTGTCGCGTTATCCGAAGGTTTGGGTCTGGCCTTAAAGGCCAAAGGTGTACATGTGTCTGCCTTGTGCCCGGGCTTCACGCACACTGATTTCCACGACGTAGCGGGTATGTCCGAGATGAAAGCCGCCATGCCTGAGTTTCTCTGGTACAGCGCAGAAACCGTGGTGCGGGAAGGTTTACAGGCGGTAGAGCGGGGTAAACTCATCTGCGTGTCCGGGCGACTGTACCGATGGTTAGATCCATTCCTGCAATCCAAACTCACCCGAGGGTTGCTTCGTAAGGTTTTTTAAAAATGAAAAATTTACTGTTTATAGCTGTATTGCTGGCACCGGTGGCTTACGCAGACTGTGTGGATGAGGTGGTGGCCGCCCAGGCGGACATCGAAGCCATCGTAGGCGCGCTGGATGCCCGCCAACAGGTTGAATTAACCGCGACACTGCTGCAGCTTTGTGACAAACGTGTGGTGGGCAGCAGTGCACTGAACAGTGAAGAGCGGCGCGCGTTTACCACGCATGGCTTAAACCCGGAGAGACCCAACTCTGATGGCAACCAAAGCCGCCAGGGCGTGCCGGTGATTATTGATGCTGAAGTGCCTGAGTACAGAGATCGCAAAACCCCGTAAGCAGAAATAAAGAGGCAGAAAAAGAAAAGCTCGCGGTCTCCCGAAGGATTAGCGAGCTTCTCGTTCGTTAGGGGACTAGCCCGACCAGGCAGCTCAAGGCTACAAGGTCGGTTAGTTTCCCTGTAGTGCTTTCACACTACTGGCTATCTTCTCTTTGCCAAACGTCTTCAGCAGATCCAATAACCGGTGACCTAAGTCGTTATTTTCCGACGCCTTTTACGTCGCACTTCTCAAGTGTCCGGCACCTTCGAAGCATCAGATTCGCCGCTTCGCCCTCGCACATGCGCTTAAACGTTGCTGCTAACCCTTGAGCCGTCTTAGCCTGACGACCCTGGTCTCGGCTAGAGACCGTAAGCTCACGAGGCCCAGTTTTCCGATTTCCCTGACCTTCCTTATACCCTTGCGGATAGTTTGGCGGGCCCGTTCTTTCTTCTAACTGTGTCTTCTGACCTTGGTTATTACTTTACTCGCGTGAGGGAAAGAGGCCAGTGAAACAGCGGCATGCAGCGGTGGATAGGCTGGGGATAAGTCGGGGTGGGCGGTTGATAAGTGAGAGTGGTTTGAGGTGAAAGTTGAGGGATCTGGTTTTGATCTGCGTGTAAGGCGCTGATATGCAATGGAATTCTTAAACATGCGGCGCACTCATAGTGAAGCACGCGATCCTCAAAAATCTATGAGGCAAGTTGTTCTAGAACCTCGGGGTGACACTGAGCGACTTTCAATAATGTCTTTGCCGCACCGCGAGGTGATCGCCTGCCTTGCTCCCAGTCCTGCACCGTGTCGATGGCTACGTTGAGTAGCTTTGCGAATTCGCGTTGCGTGAGATTGACCGCTTTACGTGCAGAAATTGCCAGGAGTTGTTCCTCAGTATAGGTACGGCCTTTCTCAGAGTTCTTCATCTGCCGAACAGCCTTGAGCAATTCCTTCGTTTCGTCGCTGACTTTTGATGTGTTACTCACGTTCAATCGCCTCTCTAATCAGTCTCAATTCATGTGCTGGGATCATTTCGCGTGTGTTTTTAGCATAGAGCGTCAGCAACCAGATCTCTTTGTTTGCGAGCTGGTTGAAGTAAATCACGCGAACACCGCCGCTCTTGCCGACCCCTGTGCGCGCCCAGCGGACCTTGCGCATGCCACCGGAGCCACGGATAACAGAGCCCGCCGTCGGATTTCGGGAGATATACGATGCAAAATCTTCGCGCTCATCGTCAGTCAATAAACCTTCGGCTTTGCGGGAGAAGGCGGGCGTTTCGATTACCGTGAACATCAGTTATGAATACGGCATTGCCGTACATTAAACTACGAGCATTGTCTAAACAACCTGTGGGACGTTGCCTTTTCCTGGTTGAGTTGAATACTGATCAGTTATCTAGCGTTTCTTTTGTCGCTGTGTTGCATCCTTCAAGCCAGTCGCTGGTACATTGCGAACAGAACACAACAAACTTATCCCTCTTAGTCGACAATCGGGCGGCAGGAAACCATCCGAATTCATGGTAGGTTCCGTGTAATCCTGAGGCAAAGTGAAGAGGAGACAGAATATGTCTGCTACGTCAGGTTCAAAACCAACGAAAGGCAAGGTACGCAAGCACAGTGAACGGCTGCGTGCGCAGGGGCTGCGCCCCATCGAGATATGGGTGCCAGACGTGCATGCCGCATCTTTCCATTCGCAAGCTCATCGGCAATCTCTCGCTGTCGCAGCAAGCGAGCATGGGCCGGACGATCAGGCATTCATCGATGCGGTGTCCGTGATAGATGCCGCCAAGATTGATGCACAAACCATATAGCCAGAGATTTGAATAATGGATATCAAACCAATTAGAACCGAAGCCGATTATCTAGCGGCGCTCAATGAAATAGAATCATTGATGAGCGCTGAACTCGACTCTGCAGAGGGTGAGAGACTGGATGTAATGGTCACGCTTGTCGAAGCGTATGAATCAAAGAAATATCCTATGGAACTGCCGGATCCGGTTGAAGCCATCAAGTTCGAAATGGAGCGCCGCGGTCTTACCGTTAAAGATCTTGAGCCGATGATTGGGAAGAGTAATCGAGTATATGAAATACTGAATTACAAGCGTTCGCTTACCCTGAAAATGATCTGGAAATTACACGAAGGCTTGGGTATTCCCGCGGAGTCTCTGATCAAGCCGCCGCAGGCAAAAGCGGGTTGAGCTTTTTAAGTTAACCCGATATCAAGCCGCCGCCGATCAACACACGATACACACACCTCAAGAATTCAGAGAGCGTACGAAGATCAAAAACCCGTTCGTTGCAGGCATGCTGAGCGAGCCGTGCAAAGTTCTTGCGGAGAATAACCGCCCTAATCTCCGCACATAAAGCGGATATTAATTGACACCTGCGGAGAATTCGAAGGCAAACTCACTTCAAGCAAATGGGCCAAGCTCACTAAATCCTCCCAGGACACCGCTTATCGCGATATCACCAATCTGATTGAGCGCGGCGCCTTGAAAAAAGACGAAGGCGGCGGACGTAGTACCAGTTACTCGCTGCTGATTAAGGACTAGAAAAAAAGCTGGTCAAAAAGAAGGTTACCTTGACCATTTACCACTAAGACTGAGAGTTTCAGCCACAATGATTTGACAGTGCTGTCATTGCGGGTAACATACGCGCCCTCGCATTCGTGCGAGTCTGAACGCCGGGTGTTTAGCTCAGTTGGGAGAGCGACGGCCTTACAAGCCGTAGGTCACAGGTTCGACCCCTGTAACACCCACCAATTCCCTCCTACTATAGAAAGGGGAATTGACTACGGAGCGGTAGTTCAGCTGGTTAGAATACCGGCCTGTCACGCCGGGGGTCGCGGGTTCGAATCCCGTCCGCTCCGCCAATTTTTCTCTTATTAAACAACCACTTAGCGTTCGTTAAGCGGTATTCACCCCCAGGTTTACCCCCAGCTGCGTCATTTTTGCGCCTCCTCGATCTGCGCGAGTAGCCGTGCTATATCGCCTGCGTTCGGGATCCACTTTGCATAGTGCTTTTCAATCACGGATCGGCTGTTGCCAGATTGGACCGCAACATCATTGATGTTCATGCCACCTTGTAGAGCTAAAGATATGTACGTATGCCGCCAGGGGTAGAGGCCCAGGCGTCGCCGCACGTTGGCAGTCTTGTGTGCTCGGTTCCATTTATCCATCAGCCAATCGGCATCTTTAAACATATGGCCTTCGGGCGTCTTGAATATTAGGCCACCTTCAAACCGTGTCGGGTATTCGTTCAACAGGGACCGAATTACCTGCGGGACGATCACATAACGGCGCTTTGTTTTCGTGTGTGATTGCATCTTTCTGCGCACCATTGCTTGCCAGACGTTGAAGCCGGTGCCGTCGTAGTCGGACCAATGCAAGCCGAGGAGCTCGCTAGTACGCATGCCCGTGTAGAAGCCTGTCAGGAAATAGGCGTAAGCGATCGGCCAGGGTCGGAGCTTTGGCAATAGGAGGTCGCGCTCCGCTGCGGTATAGGGGTCGGGTTCTGGCTGCGCGTCTTTCTTCGACTTTTTTATTTTCCAGTCTTCGAACGTTTTTACACCAGCGGGTCTGCAAATTCGGTTGAGCACAGAAACCGCCTCTCTTTTTGTTTTCTTCGAGACTTTCTTGGGGAGTAGATGCCGCTGCATGTCCTCTAGGGTCAAAGATGTGATGGGCCGATTGTCGAAGGTGATCCAATGAGAGTTATACAGAGACTCATAACCGTCGAGGGTGCTGTCGGCGACTCCGTCAACTTCAGGCGCGATCACGTCAATGTAATGCTGAAACCAAAAGCCTAAGGTTTCGGGTGCGGTAACATCGCTACCGGTAAGCCAAGCCTTGACGACTTCCCAGGATTCCCCGAGGGCAAGCATTCGGTCGGCGTCGTTGCAAAGTTTTTCGACCGTCTTGTGCGCCGCCTTCGTAGGCTTGTAGTCGAGCGCGACTGACCTACGAGCGGTTTGTCCGTCGATGGTAACGCTAAACCGGGCTTCGTACTTTGAGCCGTTTTCCCTGATGCTAGCCACTGTTCAATTTCCTCCCAATAGTAAACGGTCCCATGCCCTTCGATAGTCGCATAGTGCAGTCCTTCCTTCCAAGCGCGGGCGCGGCGCTTCTTAAGTTGTTCGAGAGTGAGTCCGTATCGCGAGAACATTTGCTCCGCGTTCAGCGCGCAAGGCAGGCTTTGATCTAGCATTACCTGTACCTCCCGACACAAGTGGGCAGCAATTCGATCTTCAGTGATAAGTCTTTCATAATCCCACCCTCGCAAACCCGATCAGCTGAGCATGTCCCAGCGCTTAAACGGCGTTGATCAGAACTTGGTTCACTCGGTGCCGTCTTCGATACCGCTGCCACTCCTGAATGGCGCCACGCATTAGAGAAGTTCTTATATTTATATAAATACATATAAAATAATTCCACAAATTGTTGGGCAGTGTTCTCACAGTAACGCGCCCGGAAATTTAATTTCGACATTACGCCGGCCCGCTTATCGTGTCAATATTGCATTGTATGAAATCTACTAAATTGCGCTTACGTGATGGATGGTCCGGTGCTATGATTGCAGCGGTTGATGGCAAGACGAGAATCAGCGACATGGGGGTACCAATGGCAACACTGGTCTACGGGTAGCATGGCAGTAAACAAAAGAACGGTTCAACAGGTACAGATACCGCCTGAGGTGCATCAAGGGGTGAAGTTACTCGCGGGCCAGAAAGCCGATGCGACGATGAACGAAGTCTACGACCAGGCCGTAGGTTGGTTCCTGAAGTCCAGGGCGAAGAAGTCATTCAACTACTATCTCGCTTCAACAAAACGCGGTAAATACACCTCAATGTGGATTGACACAGCTTTACTTGATCGAGTCCGAGTGATCGCGGCACGCGATGCGGTGTCAATCTCGCGTGTCATTTACACAGCTTTGGTTCTCTACCTGGAAGACAAAGACGTCATCTAATGATTGAGACGGAACAGCTCTCTTGGTTTAGTTAGCTTTGTAGATTATATGTTTTCCATC